CTGAAAATAACCATGATGTGATATACGTATCTGCACTTATGCTGTCATGAAGCCAGCTTCATTAGCTCAAGCCATAACCAAGAACCGTATGCAACAATCGGGTTCAGAAGGTTCAAAATCCAATTCTCCATAGAGAAATTAATTTTAAACAATAATATAGTGTGATTCAATTTCATTTACATAAAATAGCATTAAATAGCCAAATTACCCATCATTCTGAGGAGAGATCCACCAATCAAAAAAAAGGCACTGTTACTGTGGAAATGAAAATCTCTGCAAAAAAAGCTGAGCATCGTCCACTGCCATACAACATTACGAATTACAAAAAAATCAGTCTCATTAAACTCTCAAACAGCGGACATTTGTCTGTTTAAAATACCTGGGCCTAATAAGATCTGTAAAAAAAAAAAAAAGAAGCCAAATCAGCATATTAGAGTGATTTCTGAAGGATAATGTTACACTAAATACTGTAGTAACAATGCTGAAAATTCAGCTTTGGATCACAGGAATAAATTAAATTTTTAGAATACATTAAACAGAAAACAGTTACTTTAACATTTAATAATTGTTCACTTTTTTATTATATTTTTGATCAAACAAATGAAGCTTTCGTCAGCATAAGATACCTCTTTTTAAAAAATAATTGAAAATCTCACTGATCCCAAATTTTTGAATGGTAGAGAATAAAGGGATATTTTGCAAATAAATAGTTTTTGTGTACCATGCTTGATTTAATTATGTCATTAACAATGTTTCCGTACCTCATAAAAGACATTAAATATACAGTCAACCTTTTATCTGATGTAAATGTTTTAACCCTATGGAGAACATGACTGGAGAAACAATTCCAGAATCAAGGCCGCTGAAAAAGTACTTTTTTCATTCGAAGAACGCCACCATTTTGAAATGTGTTGAAACACACACATGATCATAATCGCACATGATTATGACGGAAGCTGATAAAAAAAGCTCATGAGCTTCACAACAAACAGCAACTCCTATGATTTGCAATAAAGAAACGAGCTGAATAAAATACACATAAAAAAGGGCAGAGAGAAGGAGTGATGTGAAGACAACCAAACAGCAGAAAGAGACGGTGTTCGCTTTTCAAGCACAGTCCCAGCCTTTACTCCTCTATAGTTTTTACACTCATTACTACGTACAAAATGATGACAGCTACTGTAGATTTGAATATATTTAACTGTGTGTACTGCAGTGCAAACTGATAATGGCTGAATCTCACAATGTCCAGCTCTAT